AATACTAAAACAGGATGTTCTACTTTTCACATCCATCTTTCCCTTTGATCCTCATAATAGCCCTGGGAGGTGCAAAGCAGAGGAATGAGATTAGGAGACTGCGATCCAGGAGGTTGGGGACTTGCCTGGGGTCATGGAGCAGCCAAGCCTCCAGCCCCCATTCCTGTCCTTCCCTCTCTCCCTCATCCAGCTCTCCAGTGCTTCCAACCTCTACCAGTGAGAAGAACAGCCTCGAGGGAGAATAATGGTCAAGGTGCGGAGAGGTGACCAGTTGCAGGAGGCGAGCATCAAGGCATAGGCTTTGGCATCACACAGAACTGGGTCCAGTCTCCCTTCTGACACTCACTCACTGAATGGGCCAGAAAGACCCAACCAAAGAGAGTCAACCTTCAGGAAAATACCTGCTTCTCGGTGCCAGCCTCCTGGTAGCAGAGACCTTTCAACCCATCACATCCTCCTGCAATCCAGCCACTGCTTCCAGGCAACTGCCTGGACAATCACAGGGCCATCACTGTAGTGCCGATTAATCCTCCCAGCTCAACTCAAAGACAATGACAACAACCTGGCATGACACCATCCCAGGCTTGGAGGCTCCTTCCTCCGGTACATAGTTCTTCATTCTCAGGCCACACCCTCATAAAGTTCTTCCTTTACAGATTCTGGGGCTCTGATGTTAGGTGCATATGTATTTACAATTGCACAGTTTTTAAGAGCTTGGCTGCTAACCAAAAGGCTGGCAGTTCCCACCAGCTGCTTGCTCCTTGGAAACCCTACGGAGCAATTCTTCTCTGTCCTATAGGGTCCCCATGAGTCAGAATCGACTTGACGGCAAGGGGGTTATACCTTCTTGATGAATTGATCCTTTTATCATTTTATAATGTTCTTCTTTGTCTCTTATAACAGATTTCGACTTAAAATCTATCTTGGCTGATATGAATATAGCCACCCCAGAATCCAGGCGGTGCTCAGAGGGAAATTTATAGCAATAAATGCCTACATTATAAAAGAAAGATATCTCAAATCAATAGCCTAACTCTATAACTTGAGGAACTAGAATAAGAAGAGCAAACTAATCATAGAGCTACCAGAAGGAAGGAAATAGCAAAGATCGGAGCAGAAACCAGAAGTTGGTTCTCTGGAAAGATCAATAAAATTGACAAATCTTTAGCTAGAGTGACAAAGAGAGAAGATGCAAAAACGCTTCCTTCCATCTCAACTAAATCCCTGCTGCTGCAGTGTGGACTCCCCCGTTCTGCCCCCTGTGGGAACGCTTAGCCCTGGACACTCCTTGCAGCTTAAAGAGCTGTCCTCTCTCAGTCCTTCTCTCGCCTAATTCAAATCCCCATCACTCTTGTGATATCAACCCCCAAGCCCTTCCCCAGGTCTTCCTTTACCTACCCAGGAGGTGGTGGGTGCCAGGGTTAAGTGCTCAGAATTAAGCAAAGTTGGGTTTGGATCCTGCTCCCCACTTACTACCTCCATGACCTTTGGACAGTTATTGGACCCACTGTCATTGCCTCCCCCATAAATGGGGATACCAAGACAAGGAGCACAAAATGCTGGGCACAGAGGCTGTGTGGGTAGTTTCCAGCTTCCTAACCAGAACAGAAGCACTGAGGCAGGGCTGTGTCATGTGTTGCCTTTCCAGCACCAGCAAGCTGCCTGGCCTGGCCCCTTGTAATGATGATGCCACCCATGTATGCAGTGCTTTCTCATCCAGCACTCCATCTGACAGAACGGGTTCTCTGACTGCCACTTTATCGTGGGAGTAAACTGAGACTCAGTGTCATGGATTGAATTGTGTCCCCCAAAAACGTGTATCAACTTGGCTAGGCCATGATTCCCAGTATTGTGTGCCTGTTCACCATTTGGTGATCTGATGTGATTTTCCTAGGTGTTGTAAATCCTACCTCTATGATGTTAATGAGGCAGGATTAGAGGCAGTGACGTCACTGAGGCAGGATTCAGTCTACAGGATTAGGCTGTATTTTGAGTCAATCTTTTTTGAGACATAAAAGAGAGAAGTGAGCAGAGAGACGAGGGGACCGCATACCACCAAGAAACAAGAGCCAGGAGAACAGTGTGTCCTTTGGACCCCAGGGTCCCTAAGCTGAGAAGCTCCTAGACCTGGAAAGATTGATGACAAGGGCCTTCCTCCAGAGCGAACAGAGAGAGAAAGTCTTCCCCTGGAGCTGACACCCTGAATTCGGACTTCTAGCCTCCTAGACCATGAGAGAATGAATTTCTCTTTGTTAAGGCAATCGACTTGCAGTATTTCTGTTATAGCAGCACTAGATAACTAAGACACTCAGCAATAACCTTACTCAGAGTACGTACGGGGTGGCACATTTTTTTCACAATGCTAATGTTTGTTTTCAAAACCTAGGATGAGCAGGCTGGGGCATGGCATGAAAAGATGGATATAAGGTCTCCAGCATAACTGCTGATCATGACAGACCTGACTCCCAATCCCAGCAAGGCTTAATTTCTCTGTGCCTTGATTTTCTCATCTGTAAAATGGAAACAATGCCCATGTCAAAATACAGTGACAATGAAATGACATCACATCAAGTAACATTTTCTGACTCTGCAAGGCCCAGGGAATGCTCGATTCCCTTCAGTCTTCCTACACCCGTAGCTCCAGGAGGTTTTATGTTCTTTAGCTTCTTCCTAAAGGTGTTTGGGATGGTCAGTTATTTCTGACACATCACCCAAGTGCCCAGAAGAGCAATCTGCAGTCTCTCACCATGATTCCTTAAATAACACCATTGGTGTATAACAGCTTTAACACAAATCACACAGACTCACTGAAAAATGCTAGAGCTGCATTACATCATGTAGACGAACTGGCCTCTCATTTTAAATGTGAGGAAATCCTCCAAGGTGAGTCATACATGAGTTAATGACCTGCTGGGACCAGAACCCTAGCCTGGGTGCCAAGCTCTGTTTTTTCTCCATGGCACTAATTTGCTTTAACATGTTTTTGAGGGCTCTGTGCCAGGACCTGTGCAGGGGCTGGATATGACTTTGGCTCTGAAATAACTCATCCTCTAGGCTGGTCTCATTGGGGGTAGGTTTTGCAAACCTACTAAAAGTAATTACAAGACAAACTGGTAAGAATTACAATAGAAATCACTAATTATGATGAGTAACTAGAAGCAACACTAATTAATTTTATTACCACTGTCATTTCCACCTAGAAGGTAAGGTTGGCCAGAGGCTGTTGAGTTCCTCTGGATTTGTCTATAGCAGTGGTTCTCGAAGCGGTATGGGTGAGGGCCAGGGTGGGGTGAAGGGGTCCCCCCAGGGGACATTTGGAAATGTCTGGAGACACTTTTGGTTGTCACAACTGTGTGGAGGGGTGTGCTCCTGGTATCTAGTAGGCAGAGGCCAGGGATACTGCTCAACATCCTACAATGCACAGGACAGCCTCCACAGCAAAGAATTATCCAGACCAGAATGACAGTAGTGTCCAGATTGAGAAACCCTGGTCTACAGCATGCATGCTTAACAGGGGCAAAAACTGGATCTTGGGGGGCAAAAAAGTCATAGATATCACAATGGTTTGTGACACTCCAAAGGGACACAGTACACAAATGGTTAAACAGTACATCTATGGTATTAAAATTTCATTGCAGGGGTGAGTTAGGGGGAAAAAAGTCTAAAAGGCTCCTCTTTGTTGTTGTTGTTAGCTGCCACTGAATTGGTCCTAACTCATGACGATCCCATGCACAATATAATGAAATATTGCCAATTTTCAGAAAGTAGATGGCCAGGACTTTCTTCCTAGTCTGTGTTTGTCCGACAGCGCCACTGAAGCCTGTTCAGCATCATAGTAACACGCAAGCCTCCTCTGACAGATAGGTGGTGGCTGCACGTGATGTGCATTGGCCGGGAATGGAACCCAGGTCTCCCACACGGAAGGTAAGAATTCTACCACTGAACCACCAACATCCTCAAAAGGCTCCTTCGAGGGATGGTAATGAAAAAAGGTTGAGAAACACTAGTCTACAGGACACTGTAAAGTGCAGCCAGAGTCTTTCTTCCTCTCGAGTGCATGAGCAGCCTTGGCACTAACAGTAAGGCCCAAGCTCTGCTCTTACAACTCCGAGCCTCTCTGAGCCCCTCAGTGTACTCCTCAAGAAAATGGGAGCAATGATTCTGGTCTCCTCCCATCACAGTTCGGCAGATGGGAGGACCCAGGGCCCTGCACACCCCTGGTATAAGCCCAGCCCTGGCTTCGTCCCCATAGGGATGAATGTCCACCGCAATCCAGGGGGAAACAGGCTGGGCTGTTGACTCCCAGTGACAGGCCTTTGACAGACCATGGATTCTTTTCAAGGCTGAAACCACTATCCTGTCTCACTCCTCTGTCTAACATCCCCAACGCCCACCCAGAGGTTACCCACAAGGTGACCCACTATATCCTTTACATGGGGGGGTTCCTCAGGCTGGACCCCGTCTTCTGCTTTTCCAAGTACATAATAATATAAAGGTTCCTGCCTGATTACTCCCACTTAATAACGTCGGAGACCTGGCTTACCTCGCCTTGCCTCAGTTTACACCTGAAGGGCTCGAATCCTTGGCGGATTTCAATTAAGGGGCTGCCCCACAGGGTCGCTTGACCGTTAGAATCTCTTAGGTAAACCTTCAGAAACTCCAGCCCCCCACTCCGCAAAGCGCCGTGTTCCTCTCCGAGTGCGCACGTGGAAAGATCAGATGCAGGAGAGGTTTGCTCAGGGCGACGAGCTCCGAGGCGCGCTGCGGACTGCTCCCGGGTGCCAGCCTACATCTGTCAGTATGGAAGTGAAACTTCTCCCCACGCAGACCCGCTACGGCCCGTCCAGGCCCCGCGCGGGCAGTGAGGGCACCTGGAGGTCCGGCGCACCTGGCATCGCTCGGCAGCGCGCCGGGGCCAGAGACTCTTCCTCGGTGCCGGGGCGCCCCGGCTTGCCTGTGCCCCTGTCACTCGGGCGACCACTGCCCGCGTCCCGACTCACCTCCGCCAGCCTCGCGGGGCTCCTGGGCCGGGGTCTGGGGCTTCGCGGCTTCCTCAGTGGGAGCCCGCGCCCGGCGGTCAGCAGCGCCGTCAGCAGCACCACGCCAAGGAGTAGCCCCCCTCGGCCGAGGAGTCGAGGCATCGTCTCCCTCCAGAGGCGACTCTGTGCGGCGCCTCCGCGCCTCGCGCCTTGCTCCAGCGAGACTGTTCGTGCAGGGCCTCGCCTCCTCCGGGGGCAGGGAGCGCGGGGCCGCCTCTCGGGCCTGGCCACCCACCTCCGGGGGCACGTGAGGGGAGACCGGGCGGCGGCGGGGGCGCGTGAAGGGAGACCGGGCGGCCACGGGAGCGCGCGCGGCGGAGGGGGCGTCTGCGGGCGCGCGCGGGGTGGGGAGGAGAGGGAACGCGCGGAGAGCGAGGGTGCACGGCTCTCCCGCCCTCCGTTCCCCTGCCTTGGCTCAGGCGTAGGGGTCCGCGCTGTTCTCCGGCTCAGCGCACCAGGATGTCCCCCGCCCTCCCTGGAAGGGTGGCCCCCTCAGCGCTCCCGGACACGCCTTGGCCCAGCGGGCGGTTCTCTTTGATCTGGCTGCCTCCCCGCCCTCAGTGCCCGCTGCTGTCGCCGTCGCCGCCCCAAGCGAATTCCTATTCGGAGGAAGTTGCAGCTCGCGGATCGGCCTCTCCTGCCCTGCGCCCCAACTCCTGCGGAGACCAGTGTGCCCTACTCGACCTCCGACCTCCGACCGCTACGCTGGGCGCACGGACCTGGCAGGTCCTCACGGGCAGGCACTGGTCGCGGCCCAAACAAACCTTTACATTGCGGGCAAATATGTATGCATCGAGGTAGGTTTACCTGAGGAGCAAGGCCTGGAAAGGACTCCTGCGGGAGTGATGCGCCCCCCAAAAGCTCTTCCACCGATGCTGCTAGAGTTGGAGATCAGAGGAAACTTAACCCAACACCTGCCACTCTGCACTCAATTCCCTCGGGGTCTCAGAGTACTTTAAAAATCGGGAACAAGTTGAGACTCAGATATGGGGATAAAATCCCAGGAGGACAGTGGAGAGACACATATGAGGAAGTAGTCAGATGATCCTGCAGGGAACCTCCAGTGTAGGCCACATTCGAGTCATAATAATGGCCTGCCTCTGAGGGATTGGAATAAAACCTCAGCTTGTGGCAGAGGCCAGAAACCCTGAGGGGCCCAGAGAATTGTAGTAGTGTGGATGGACCGTTAGAGGATGCACCAACACCAGACGGGTTTGGCCAGGTCAGTGACCGAGCAGTCAGAAGGCATAGAAGATGCCCACCCAGGAGCCATGTGAGAGTTGCCTCAGATTTCAGCCCAGGAATGTGAGGCACAGGATCCCTGGAGGTGCTGGAGAGGCTTGGCCTGGAAGCTCAGCCCTAACTGTAAAGCCGTTGCAGTCTGTATTTAACCAGAGTAAAACTCCGGGGATTTTGAACAGTTCTGAGTGACCACTTCTATCCCAAACATTACAGCCAAAGACTCAGCCAAAACAGCAGTGTTTTGAGATAGCGTATGGCTTCTGGAGTATATATATACACTGGGGTTTGAATTCTGCTTCTACGTTTAAAACAAAGCCTGTTGTCATTGAGTTGATTCCGACTCGTGGCGGGCCCGTGTGTATTAGAGTAGAACTGTGCTCCACAGCGTTTTTAATGGCTGATTGTTTGAAAGTAGATTGACAGGCCTTTCTTCCGAGGTGCCTCTGGGTAGGTTTGAACCTCCAACCTTTCAGTTAGCAGCAGAGCATGTTAACCGTTTGCACCACCCAGGTAATCTTGGATAAGTTATTTGACCACTTTGTGTTTGTCATTGTAAAAGGGAGGTTAACTACCCTTGTGGCGCGATGGATAAGAGCTCCGCTGCTAACCAAAATGTCGGCAGTTTGAATCCACCAGCTGCTCCTTGGAAAACCTATGGGGCAGTTCTACTCTGTCCTATAGAGTCGCTATGAGTTGGAATCCACTCGATGGCAACGTGTTTGTTTTGGTTTAAGGGCAGATTGGTGGTTCAGTGGTAGAATGCTTGCTTTCCATGCCAGAAACCTGGGTTTGATTCCCAGCCAACGCACCTTATTTGCAGCCATTACTCATCTGTCAGTGGAGGCTTACGTGTTGCTATGATGCTGAACAGGTTTCACTGGAGCTTCCAGACTAAGATGGGCTAGGAAGAAAGGCCTGGTGATCTACTTCTGAAAATCAGCCCATGAAAACCCCATGGATCACAATGGTATGATCCACTACCAGTCACAGGGAAGGTGCAGGACCAGGCAGCGTTTCCTTCCCCTGTGCATGAGTCAAGGACTGATTCCATGGCAGCTAATATCAACAACAACTACATTGTAGGTGTGAGGAGTAAAGGAAAATCTATGTAGAGGACTTATAATAGGATGAACTATACGGAATTGCCATTTTTTTGGTCAAAAGGATTAAATATTGGCAATTTCATATGCCTAATAAGATACCTGGCACATGGTAAACATGCAAATATTAGCCAGAACAAATGTAGCGTTTGAGCACCTGCTATACCATATTGCCTTTTACTAGGCTAAATGAATGCTCCTTAGAAGCAAGGATGGCGAGACTACGTCTTACATACTTTGGACATGTTGTCAGGAGGATCAATCCCTGGAGAAGGACATCATGCTTGGTAAAGTAGAGGGTCAGCGAAAAAGAGGAAGACCCTCTGCGAGATGGAGTGACACAGTGGCTGCAACAATGGGCTCAAGCATAACAATGATTATCAGCATGGCGCAGGACTGGGCAGTGTTTCGTTCTGTGGCACATAGGGTCGCTGTGAGTCGGAACTGACTCGACGGCACCTAACAACAACAATAATCCTTTATAAAGTTTTGCGTGTGTGTGTGTGTGTGTGTGTGTGTGCTTTAGGTGAAAGTTTAAAGCTCAAGTTAACTTCTCATTCAATAGATTTTTAGTTTTTTCTTTTTTTAATGTACTTTCACATCCAACCTAGTATTTCATCTCACCAACATTTTGCACCTTCCACCAGATGCTACTCCTTTCCTCAAATTACAGCAAACACAGACTTTGGAAATAATGAGTTCATTCATTCATGTGTTTATTCATCCATGTCAATCATTACTACTCCAATCCTTCCCTCCTCCCATGCCTTGCCTAGACATAGCCTCCTAATTAGTCCTGCTGCACCCACTCTTGTCTGCTCCCTCCCCTTGGGCAGGTTATCTTAAGTCAACTTCATTGAGGTATAATTTACATACAATAAAATATATCCATTTTAGTTGTACAGTTCAGTGAGTTTTGACACACTTATACATCCATGTAACCACCACCGCAATCATGATAGAAAACATTCCAATCACGCCAATGTTCTTTTGTGCCCCGTAGGATGGGTGATCACACCCTTCAGGGTTATCTGATTCTAGTCTTATCTGATTCTAGTCTTTCATTGTCTTTGCTGTTTTATAACTCTGTAAACCAGTTTCTGATTCATAGTGCCCCCATGTGTGTCAGAGTAGAACTGTGCTCCATAGGGTTTTCAATGGCTAATTTTTTCAGAAGTAGACCACCAGGTCTTTCTTCCTAGGTGCTGCTGGGTGGACTCAAACCACCAACCTTTCAGTTAGCAGCTGAGAGCGTGAACCATTTTATATATTCTTTCGTGTTTGACTTCTTTCTCTCAGCATGTTTTTGAGATTTATCCATCATATGGTCCCATAAAAAAACCCATTGCTGTGGGGTCGATTCCAACTCATAGCGACCCTACAGGACAGAGTTGAACTGCCCCATAGCGTTTCCAAAGAGTGGCTGGTGGATTCGAACTGCTGACCCTTTGGTTAGCAACTGAACATTTAACGACTGCGCCACCAGAGCTCCATCTTGTGGTAGGTATCAGCAATTTGTTCTTTATCTTGACTAACATTTCACCCTATGAGTATACCAAATTTGTTTACCTATTCACCTGCTGATGGCATTTGGATTGGTTCCAGTGTTTTACTATCATGAATAAAGCTGCTATGAATAGTCAAGTACAAGTCCTTGTGTGGGCATGCTTTCATTTTTCTTGGTAAATACCTATGAATGGAATTGCTGCCCAAAAAACTACCAAATTGTTTTCTCAAGTGGCTGTACCATTTCACATATCCACCAGCAATCTATGAGTGCTCCAGTTGCTCCACATCTTGGCCAACACTTCGTATTGTCATTCTTTTTAAATTTAACTATTCTAGTGTTCAGTGAGGGGTATCTCCTTGTAGTTTTAATTTGCATTTCCCTGATGAACAATGATGCTGAGCATCTATTTGTGTGCTTATTAGCTACTAGTATATTTCCTTTTGTGAAGTATCTGTTCAAGTTTTTGCCTCTTTTTTTAATTGAATTGTCTTTATGTATTCTGGATATAAATCTTTTGTCAGATATATGTATTGTGAATATTTTATCCCTGTCTGTGGGTTTGCCTTTTCATTTTATTAGGTCTTTTGAAGAGAAGTTTAATTTTGATGAAGTCCATTCATCAATTTTTTTGTTTTATGATTGATGTTTTCTGTGTCCCAAGATAGCGTTGCCTAACCAAAGATCACAGATTTTCTCTTCTATTTTTTTCTATACATTTTATAATTTCAATGTTTGGAGCTATGACCCATTTTGAGATAATTATTGTACATGGTGTGAGGTAAGGGTTGAATGTCATTTTCTCCCAAATGAATATCCAGTTGTTCCAGCACCACTTGTTGAAATGACTCTGCTTTACTCGTTGAATGACCTTGGCACCTTTGCTGAAAATGAACTAGCCATATAAGTGCACGTCTATTGCTGGACTTTCTAGTCTGTTCCATTGATCTCTATGACTATCGTAATGCCAACAGCACAGTGTCTTGATTACTATAGTTTTATAGAAAGTCTTGAAATCAGGTAGTAAGCCTTTCTTCAAAATTGTTTTGGTTATTCTAGCTCCTTTCTGTTTTCATATAAATTTTATCATCAGCTTGTCAGTGACTACAAAAAAACCATGCTAGTGGTTATCTTTTTTAGTGCTTAAAACTTTTCACTGGCTTCCCACTGCATGCAGGATAAACTGCTCACCATGACTGACAAAGCTCAGTGCAGTTGGCCTCTACCACCTCCTCTCTGCTCACCTCACCACTCTCCGCCTTGTTTACTGAGCTCCAAACATACTCTTTCTTCCAGATTCTTCATTTTCTCAGAAAAGTTTTATCGCCCCTCTCTAAAGCAGACACTGGTTAAAATCTTTTATCACACATTTTACTTTTCCTTCATACCCCTTAGCAGTTTGTAAAACGTTAAATACTTTCACAAGCTTATTTGTTTACTAGAAAGTAGGAACTGCATCTATTTGTTCACTGTTCTTATTGGCATGCTAGGTGCAGTGCCCGGCACAGAGCAAGTGCTTGATATTTACTGGTTGAATGAATAAAGGCAGATATATATCTTTTTGAATATTTTATTAGGGCAGAACAGAATATATTTGCACGGAAAAATTCTTAAGTCATCTCAAGTAGTTCCCTTCAGTTCTTAACATGCGCTCTCAAAACTGATACACCTACCCCAACCCACTTCACACTCATCCAACAAAGTAAAAAAAAAAAAAGAAAATCATCTGCCAAAAACTGGGCAAGCTGTAAGAGAGGAAGAGATATTTGTTTTAAAATGTTACTGGATTTTTAAAATTTAAAAATTTTTATTTACATGTCCCCTCCTCTCATTTTCCCATATTACAGCAACAGAGATGAGGTATCACAGAACCCCTTGCAAATTCCAGTTTACAGGTAACTTGGTCAGTGGAAAAATATGGGCCAAGAAAATAAGATATCAGCTCCCCCATAAGCAATTTCTCTATCTCTTTCCCCCTTCTCTTAATGTTAGCTGCCTTTACACAGAGAGGGATCATCAAGATTCTATGGGCACACTGCCTGAATTGACAGGGTGATTTCACCAGTGTCTTGGGAAGAACCTGCAAGGATGCTTTTATCACGCCAATCATTGTTCCAAGCTTAACTTCACTGAGGTAACAAGACCTAATGCCAAGGGTAAGGACAAATCACCACTCCACCCTCATCAGTGATGTCTCCCACTCCCTTGAAGGCCTGGGCCAAATGTCCAAGCTTTGCACAAGGAAATCTGGGAATTATATTGGAAAAAGCAGACTCTGAGTTGGCTCAAGGCTCCTCGTGCACGGAAGGGTTATCATCCATGCAGATGGCAACAAGGCAGTACATGTAGAAAGCACAACATCAGGCTACTCCTCTTGTTTTTATCTTAGATTCAACCTGTCCACAACTGCTCCAAAAGGACAGAGCTTTGGGTATTGCTTCACAGTAACTACAGTTTAAGAGCCATTGCATTCTTTAGGGTCAGTTTATTATAACTCATCATACCAAAAAGAATCACAGTTAAGGCTATTTATCATGTATCCTATAAAGTAAATAAAACCTGCCCACAGCTCCCCCCACCAAGCCTCTCCCAAGGGTGGACTGGGAATGTGAAACCTCCAGACTCACCAGAGACTAGAAAACGTTTTCGTTAAGGGCACAAGCTAGCCCCTCTGGCTTTCCCCCAAGATTCAGTCTATAGCAAAAGATACCCAGAAAACAAGTCACTGGAAACAAGAAAAGTGACGACAGTACTCTATACCATTAAAAGCAAAGGGCTCATTGGCTAGTCCTACCACTTCCTCTGTATGGTAAGGAAGGAAGCCACTCTTCAATTCTGCTATATGGCAGTTGGCTGGGAGGCTGACCACTGCATTTCATGTGGGTAAAGCTGAGGAAAGAACAGACATGCTTCTCTGTCCATGTGGAAGGTGTTTGATTAACTAGCTTAATGGATTAAGATCCCTGTTGGGCACTGAGCTTCCATGTTAAGCAGGTAGCAGCACATCTGTAGGTTTTGGGGTTGTATTTAAGCAAACAGACACTGAACAGCCACTAAGAATTCTTTGATTCTCACACGTCTCTTCACAACCCCCTTAGGCTAAGCTGATTTTACCTATGTGAAATGCTCAACAATTCCTGATCTTCATGAAGGTAGGCAGTTAGAAGGAAACCCACTCTTCTCCCCCTTTTCCTAACCACACAAGCAGAGATGAAAACCCATTTTGGGTTACCTAAAACTCGAGGAGAGGAAAGACACCTACGTGGGAATTAGATCATTGCAGTTCTTTACGCAATAGAACCCCGACAGTCAATTGTATTAAATTTCTCTAGCAGGAATTGTCCAAATTCTCTTTCTTCACTAACCCATGACATGACTAGCAGTTCTGCACTGTTGCCCATTCCATTATCACCGGGGGCCAGAGACGCTCACCAATTTGGAAAAGGGGACAAACACGGGGAGGTGGCGGTAGATACCATTTTTTCTCCTTCCCTGAGAAGCGAAGAATCTCCCCACGTAAGCCATTCTTCCTCCTGGTTCTCACTAACAGGAAGGAAGAGAAGTGTACCATTCACTAGAAAATTTAGCTGGACCATACTAAATCAAAAGAAGCTCAGATACAGGCTCCCTTAAGGGGCAAGAAATAAAAAACTTCCTGCCTCTTCTCGGAACGTAAAGCTGAACGTACAAGGAGAATCAGGAGATCTGATCTACTGACCCCCCAAAGCCCAGCACCACCACGTTAACAGTTTTCTCTGGGGCTGAAATTCTAAAAATCGAGAACTGGAAAACACAGAAAGAAAGAAAAGCCAAATAAAGGAGGGAGAGATTAAAGGACAAAGCACTGGAAGAATGTTCAATTCTTTGGCTGACTGAAAGGGCACCAGGCAAGTACAACCTTCGGTAGTTGTCTGGGATATTTCTGTTCACCTTACATGACTGCGTGAGGAAGTTTGTTGTGACTCTCTGACCCTAAATAAAAAAAGAGGGATGACAAAAAACGGTGAGGATCAGTCATGTCTCTACTGAGTGACCTTGATATTGGCTTTTGGTAGTAACGGTTAACTGATGCTTAATTGAATCCCATCAGATTCTTGAAATCAGGCCATGTACTAAACTGTGTATTAAACAATACTTGGCCCCAAATTTCTACTCATTCTCAATGCTTGTATTTATATATATTTGTACACCCCCAAATGCTTGGATAAATAATACCTGTCATATGACCTGGACCCTAGATTTCTATTATAGTTTCAAGACAACCAGTATGTATAAGTATATATAATATTTTGTCTTCTAAAAGTACCAAGGTCCTGGGTAGATCAGAGGAGTTTTGTCCCTTCAAAATAAACTTGTTGCCTAACTACATTTATTCTCAGAAATGTTTGCACTGGCACAGTGATGATAATGTTGTTTTAAATGCCCATACTGACATTTTAATTTGCAGTCACTTCATGCATACCAACATAAAAAACACTAGCAGGTAAGTTCATTGCTTAATAAAGTTTCTGACTTTTGCAAACCTTATACCATTAAATATTAACTGCAGTGTGAAAGCTGCTGGTATTGTAGTGTTGATTCTATGGGAGGAACTAGATGTGCAGGAAAGGTTAGCCATGTGTCTGATTTTACAGGACTAGTAACTTAGTTTTGCACCAATCTCTTTTTTACTTCCACTTGTAAATGATAAATATATTCCCTGCATCTCCACTTGCTTCTTTGGTTTACCCTTTTCTATACTTTAAAAAGGTAAAATAAAACTTTGGAATATCTCAAGGGCTTAAAGCTTTCAGATGCTGAGAGTAACCAAAGATAACTTATACTCAAGACATGAAAACAAAACTCCACAAACACTAATATTGCTAATATTCCCCCACTACGTGTGTCTGCACATGCAGTGACGTGGAAGATGCCCACAGTAATTTGGACTGAGAATCTTTACCAACAAAAGGAGTGATTTCAAAATAGAGATGTGCAAAACTACTTCCACACGTTCTTTTCCCACTCTGTTACAATCCTTCCCCTGTGATCCTTGATGGTGACTAAAAGGCTGATCTTGGGAATAATAAAGCCAAAAGTTCTCCTCAATTAAGCTTTGGTCAACGGAAAGAGAAGAACATAAAAACGGTGATTTTCAGATTTGTTCTTTGGTCATGCAGCATAAAGCTCTCTGAAAGAAGTCCTTTTACACTGTTATGCTATGAAGACTGAGTTGAAATAGGACCCCACTTTAGGAAAGAGAGATGTGTCCAGAATTTCTCAGAAAAATAGGAGATGGGATGGAGGATGAAAGAAGGAATGGAAGGACAGGGAGACTCTAAGCCCCAGATGCTAGGTTAAGATCATCTTAGGACATCAAGAATAAAAGAAAAACTAGCCATCAAAAGAGTACTATTGAAATGGGTCAGCTTCAAAAAGGGATTTAGTAACTTTAATCCTTCAACTGGAACATGACAAGTGATTTCTGAGTAGAGAATTTACCAGTATTTTCCTTTTGCAGGTAAAGTCCTGACCTGGACCCAGACACAGCAGAAGCTGTTATTGTTTTGAAAAGTGGAAAGCAGTAAGAAATTCAAACCACAGGCATTCTGCAAGTAGTAATCAATTCTTTCCACACTGGCCCTGTGCCCTCACACCACTGGGGTGCCTGTCACTCTACAGACCAGCTTTGTACACAAAATAGTAAGGTGTGACAATCATCTTTACCACAGAGGTCTGACCAGGATGAGAGGTGGGTGCTTTTAAAACAGTAAGTGTTCTAAACCGAGGGGGTGTGTGTGTGCGTGTGTGTGTGTTAGGGTTAGAGCTTGGGAAAAGCCCAGACACTGACCGTCATGAAGAAATATTTGATAGTGGAGGAAGAAAATATCTGGTGACCAGAACAAAATGGAGTAAGAGCAAAGCCTGGGGAGGTCCCTGGCCACAGGGGAGCTAGATAATGAGCCTTTTGGCAATGTTACTGGTTACGGACTTTTTTTTTTTAAGAGGCAAAACTTAAGACTAAAGAAAGAATACTTTGGTTGATCACCTGATGGGTTACATAAGGATTCAAAGGTTGGCAAACTGAGACCTGGTGGGAAGTAAGTGGAAGGCACTTGCTCCCTAGTGAGGAGGGCCAGGTGAGTCTCGAGGCTACGGGGCCAGGACCAGCAGTAGCTCTTGATGGGCCCGGAAGGAGAACCAGCCGTCTGCGTGGTGGACAGCAGAGAGGAATGGCCTGCATGGTTAGCCACAGACAGGCTGGGGTCAGCGTGATTTCACAAGCAGAATAGTTATAAAATAAAATTTCTTTTAATGGAAAAAAAGACAAAGTGAGCCACCTTTCTTTTTGAAGGTGAGATGTAGCAAAGGAAGGATGTGAAGCAGTTTTTACTATTTACAAAACGCCATTTAGAGTGGAGGTGGCCACCTTCGGTAGTTGAGGCAATGTCTTTCACGTGAGATGGCCACAGAAATGTGGTTCCTGGAAATGGCTCAGAAAGGCCACACACTGTCCTGGGTGAGGGAGGGTTCCTCTAAGGGAGCACCAAAAAGGCTCAGTCTTCTGTTTCTTCATACGTAGTCTCGTCAAAGGGCCTGTCCAGTAGAGGTACCAACCGATGGCGGGAATACTTTAGCTGCAATAGGTCCCCAACTTCATCTATCTCCTTTAAAGCCTAAAACACACAAGACAAAGCAAAGTTCAGTCAGAGCCAGCAGGATGCAATCATGCTTGCTTTCTGATTTTTCTAAAAACAATCATGTGCAAAGCTATTGGTGGTGGGACTTTAAGTGTCTAGTGCTTTTACTCAGATGAGACTACAGTACAGCTGTGAAAAAAAGAACTGCTTTTTTGAGCAAGGACTTCAGGCCAACCATGAATAGGCTGTGAGCAGTCAGGTCACAGGATAAAGGTATGGTTCACCAAAGTATGATATGCTTGGTAGAAAAAGGGATATGCATCCAGACTGGCTACAGTTTGTCATCTCTCCTCTTACACTTATAGCCACAGTGGCTACAATTTATCATCTCTCCTCTTATACTTCAGTACATGTTCTTCCTAGTATTCCAGAAAACTAATGAGAAGGCTGAGTTAAGCTGCTTCCTAGATGCAAGACTAAGAAAGTCCCCAAAGTGGGCTGCTGTGCGGCCTTAGTAAGAAAAAGTATAAGCTGTTCGATGGAGACTCTGGGTAGGCAACAGACAGAGGGTAAGCAAGGGATTAAGTAAAGGTCAGAGCTGGGATTTGAACCTAGGCCTCATTTCAAAGTCCAAAGTCCTAACCTGAGGAATTATCTTGTTTTTCTATCAAAACTTTAATTATTTCCGTATAACTTGCTTCCTTTTTGGTAAACCTTGCTCTTCGATTTTTCAAAGTACATATTTTTCTTTTAGAAAATTTCTTATAAAAAAGGTAGGAAATGTATAGAAAAGTCTCTCCCTGATCAGTGGTCCTAACTGCTAGAGGTAATTCTTCTTATGTGGTTTCTTTTATATATACATATTAAAATTAACTCTTGGTGAAATATAGTGTACATACATGAAAGTACACAAATGATAAGTGTCAGATCACAAAGTGACCCCTTCACTTTGTGTGAACAGTAACATCTGTTCGTGCAACATCTGACCACATATACATCTGTGGTCCCATAAAGTTATAACAGAGTTCAGAAATTCCAACTGGAGAATGGGACGTAGTGGACCTAACTGGACTCAGGAGTGCACAGAGTCAAAATAGAGGATCCCAATTTAGGAAAGCGATATGTGTTCATAATTTCTCAGAAAAATGGATGGACAGAGAGATCCTAACCCCAGATGCCACCCAGAGAAGTTCAAGGACGACAGCAAAAATTCTGGAATCCTTTAGAATAGAGCATTTTTCCCATTTATTTGAAAGTACCTAGCATGGGTCATGGAATGTAGTTTTCAGTCAATGGCAGATCTCTGGCCCTCAGCAGTTCACTGCTGTAGTATCTGGGGATATTAACTAGTGGGTCTGATAAACTAATCTGGGGCTAATGGCCTCAGATTCAGAAACAATGGATATATCTATGACATCAACTCATAAGAGACTAAGAAACTGGGAGAGAAGCATTAGAAGCCCTGTTGCCAAGTATGACTCTCCAAATCTCTATTGTATGGACAGTCTTCTCTCCAGTATTATGGCTATAATTCCATTCCAGAATGTACACTGTATATTTCAGAAAAGGAAATTCGTTCATATATATTGTCATATTTAGTATAAAGACATATTTATCTATTCTTAAATTCAACTTTTAAAAACCAGTTTTGGGAGAGAGATCAATAGTTTTCCTTATGTATTCTAGCTTAAGGAAAAAGATTCTTCATTTCAAAATGTGAAAAATATAAAAAGCAAATAAGAAATGGACTTCAACATGCTATCTGAACAGTGGTTCCTTTGAGAAGTTTAATTCAAAGTCCCATAAGGAAACAATTTAAGATAAATTTCAGCTGGGAGAATCCATTAACCACTTTCCCCCTGACCTCTGATATAGGATTTATTAATTTAAAACAAAAGTCTACAAGTCTAAGATCATAAAGGAAAGGACATTTATGAACCTTACTTTAGGAAAACGACAGTGACTAAAAGGGATGTATAGATTACAAGATTTCCTCTGATCCCATACCAAACATTTCAGGCAAAGTACAGTCATGCATCGCTTAATGTCCACGATACCTTCTGTGAAACAGGACGTTATGTGATCTGGACGCTGTGTGAACATCAGATTATATATAGGCAGTCCCCGGGTTACAAACATCTGACTTATGCACCACCCATAGCTACGAAACAACGCCCTAAAGCCTATTATATTAAAAATTCGAGGTACATACAATGGTTTGTAATAACAGGCAGTATTTTGCAATGCACTTCAAAATATTATTATTATTACCGTATGATTATGCTACAGATGTTTTAATGTATCTGGAAGTGTTTCTTTAATGTGTTGTGTGGAGGAAGCTGTTGTGTTCACCATGTCTGGTTATACCTGCTATGTCCAGTTCTCCAACTGGAATTTCTGAACTCTGTTATAACTTTATGGGCCCACAGAACAGATGTTATGTGATGCATGACTGTAGTTTTATTTACATAAAACAAAACTGTAACCAGAAACTGATGGCCATTGCATTTGGTATATTTAATTAGACTAGAACTAAGGAAGCATTACAAGTATTACCATTTATAACAAAAAGCCTATACTGAACCTCTGGATCAAAGGGTAAGATGGGTTCTTAAGAAAACACCAAGTGTTAAGATATTTTGTTTATCCATTCTTTAGTTGATGGACATTTGGGCTGTTTCCACTTGTTGGCTATTATGAATAATGCCAGGTGCATGAGTTTTTGTTTGAATATATGTCTTCAGTTGTCTTGGATATATACCTAGGAGTAGAATTTCTGGGTCATATGGTAATTCTACGCTTTACTTTTTGAGGAACTGCTAAACCGTTTCCAAAGTAGTTGTGCCATTTTACATTCCCATTAACAATGTATGAGGCTTCCAATTTCTCCACATCCTCGCCAACACTTGTTATGGTCATCATTTTTATCATAGCTAACCTAAGGGGCATGAAGTGGAATGTCATTGTGATTTTGATTTGCATTTCCTTTATGACTAATGATGTTGAACATCTTTTCATGTGCTTATTAGTCATTTTTATACCTTCTTTAGAGATTTATTCAAATCCTTTGCCTACAGATACAATCCCTAATTTGATACATGATTTGCAAATATTTTTTCCCATTTGTGAGCCATCTTTTCACTTTCTTGATGATGTCCTTTGAAGCACATAAATTTTAATTTTGATGAAGTCTAACTTATTTACTATTGCTTTGTCATTATGCTTTTGGTTCATAGCAAAGAAACCACTGACCAATTCAAGGTCACAAAGATTTAGCCTTAGATTTTTCTTCTAAGAGTTTTACAATTTTACCTTTTATTTAGGTTTGGATCAATAAGCAACATCACAATTAACAGAGAAAATATTGTTTGTCAAGGATTTTATTTTTGTTGAATCCACAATCAATGCCCACAGAAGTAGCAAACAAGAAATAAACACTGTATTGCACTGGGCAAATCTGCTGCAAAAGACCTCTTTCAAGTGTTGAAAAAAAGTCCACAAAGATGTCATTTTGAGGACTAAGGTGTGTCGGACTTAAGCCATGGTATTTTCAATGGCCTCATATGCATGCAAAAGCTGGACAATGAGTAAAGAAGACCAAAGAAGAATTGATGTCTTTGAATTATGGTGTTGGTGAACAATATTGAATATACCATGGACTGCCAGAAGAATGAACAAATCTGTCTTGGAAGAAGTACTGCCAGAAAGCTCCTTAGAAGCAAGGATGGCGAGACTTTATCTCACGTACTTCGGACATGTTATCAGGAGTAACTAGTCACAGGAAAAGGACATCATGCTTGGTAAAGTAGAGGGTCAGTGAAAAAGAGGAAGACCTTTAATGAGATAGATTGACACAGTGGCTGCAACAACGGGGTCAAGCATAACAACAATTGTGAGGATGGCGCAGGACCAGGAATGTTTCTTTCTGCTGTATATAGGGTCTCTTGTGAGTCAGAACTGACTCAACAGCACCTAACAACAACAGTTTAGGTTTATGCTCTCTTTTGAGTTAATTTTTACATATACTGTGAGTTAAGGGTCCTACTTCATTCTTTTGCATGTGGATAACCAGTTATGCCAGCATCATTTGTTGAAAAGACTATTCTTTCCTTGTTGAACTGTCTTAAGAGTCCTTGTCAAAAATCAACCATAAAAGGAGTTTATTTCTGAATTCTAAATTCTATTCCCTTGATCTATATGTCTATTCTTGTGTCAGTACCACACCGTCTTGATCACCATAGCTTTGTAGTAAGTTTTAAAATGGAGAGATTCCTTAAAAGCAAGTATTCAGTCTTTCATAATTAAGAATGCTATTAGCTGTGAAGTTTCCACAGATGGCACATTGAAGAAATTCCCTTCTATCCTTGTTTGTTGAGTGTTTTTATCATGAAAGGGTGTTAGATTTTGTCAGATGATTTTTCTATGTCTACTGAGGTAATCAGGCATTAAAAAAAAACTATTTTATTAACATGATTTATTACATTGATTAATTTTTATATGTTAAATACACTTTGCACTGTTGGAATAAATTCCACTTGGTCATGGTGTATAATTCTTTATATACGTTGCTGGATTTGGTTTGCTAGTATTTTGTTGAGGATTTATGTGCCTGTTTTCATATGAGCTATCTGGTCTGTAGTTATCTTTTTTGTGTGATGTTTTTGTCTGGTTTTGGTATCACAGTAATACTGGCCTCACAGAATAAGATGGGAGATGTTCCCTCCTCTTCTATATATTGGTAGAATTTGTGAAGAATTGCTGTTAATTCTTCTTTAAATATTTAGTAGAATTCACCAATGAAGCCATCTGGACCTGAGCTTCTCTTGTGAGAAGTTTTTGGATTATTAACTCAAATCTCTTTATTTGTTATATGTCTATTCCAATTTTGTATTTATTCTTGAGTCAGTTTCAATAGTTTGTGTCTTTCTAAGAATTTGTCCATTTCATCTAGGCTATGTAATTTATTGTCATATAGTTGTTCATACCAACCAACCAACCCGTTGCCATCGAGTGGATTCCAACTCATAGCAACCCTATAGGACAGGGTAGAACTGCACCGTAGGGTTTCCAAGGAGTCGCTGGTGGATTCAAACTGTGGACCTTTTGGTTAGCAGCCAAACACTTAACCACTGTGCCACCAGGGCTCCAACTATTCATAGTATTCCCTTATAATTCTTTTTATTTCTGTAAGGTTGGTACTGATGTTCCCTCTTTCATTCCTGATTTTAGTAATTTGAGACTTCTCTTTTTCTTGTTCAGTTAAGCTAAGGTTTGTCACTTTTGTTGATCTTTATAAAGAACCAAATTTTGGTTTTGTTTATTTTCTCTGTTTTTCTATTCTCTATTTCATTAGTTTTTATTCTAATCTTTATTATTTCCTTCCTTTCTTTGACTCACTGGTTACTTATAGGAGTGTGTTGTTTAATTTCTACATATTTGTGAATTTGCCAAATTTCCTTCTGATACTGATTTCTAATTTAATCCCATTGTGGTCAGAGGACATACTTAATATAATTTCAGTCTCTTTACATTTATTGAGACTTGTTTTATGGCCTAGCCTATCACGCAGAATATTGCACGTGCATTTGAGAGGAATGTGAATTGTGTTGTTGCTTCATGTATTTTAGAGCTCTGCTGTTAAGTGCATATATTTTTATTAATTGCTTTGTCATCCTGATGGACTCACCATTTATTTTATCCTTTAAAAATGTCCTTTTTACTCTCCAGTGAAACAATTTCTGTCTTAAAGTCTATTTTGTCTGATGTTAGCATAGCCACTTTGACTCTTTCGGTTATTGTTTGCATGGTATATGTTTTTCTATCCATTTACTTTAAACCTATTTCTGTCTCTGAATCTAAAATGTGTCTCTTGCAAACAGCATATAGTTAATATTGTTTTCAATTCATTCTGCTAATCTCTGCATTTTGACAGACAGTTTAGTCCATTTACATTTAATGTATTCAACAATAAAGTAGGATTTACATCTGCCATTTTGCTATTTATTTTCTGTGTATTTTATGCATTTATTGTTCCTATATTCCCCCATTACTGCCTTCTTTTGTGTTAAATAGATACTTTGTAGGATACCATTTTAATTCCCTTGTTTCTTTTACTATACATATATACATATATATATAGTTATTTTCTTAGTGGTTGCCCTGGGGATTACATCTTAAAATAATCTATTCCAGATTAACACCAATTAAATCTCAATATTACAGAAAAAGTTTGCTCCAATAAACTCCATTCTCTTCCTTTTCCCATGCTGATGTCTTCATAAAGATTAAAAATTATATTTTTACTACACTATAAGCCCATCAACCCAGTTTTATAATTATTGATTTATGTAGTTATTTTTTAAATCAAATAAAAGGGTTACAAACAAAAATATGCTTATACTCTTTTTAATTTACCTATGTAGTTATGATTATCAGTGTTCTCTATTTCTTCATGTGGATTCAAGTTACTATCTAGTGTCCTTTCATTTTAGCTTGAAGGACTCCCTTTAGGATTTATTGTAAGGCAGGCCTAATAGTGCTAAATTCTCTTGATTTTTGTTTATCTGGAAATGTCTGGGTTAAAAAATAATCAAAGCAGAAATTACTGGTAAGATTTTTGAGAAATGGGGAAATCCACTGAAAAAATGCTGAAAGACATAATCAAATTAAAAGAAAAGAAAAATACAGTATAAATAACTGAATCCAATTTGACAATGTCAGAATGTGATCAAGAATATATTCATATTTGTAGAAATTTTGTTGTACAGAAACAGAGAAGAAACATAAAAAGTCTTCAGCTATTCAGATATGTAAAATGTCAATTACATTGTTATAATGAACTTTTCAAAACAGATATTCATAATATTCATAATAATATTCTTTAGGATTAGTAGCTCTCCAATGAGAAGCCCTGGTGGTGCAATGGTTAAGCACTCAGCTGCTAACTGAAAGGCTGGCAGTTTGAACCCACCCACCTGCTCCACAGGAAAAAGACTTGACGATATACTCCGGTAAAGATTACAGCCTAGAAAACCCTATGGAGCACTACTCTATCACACGGAATCACAATGAGTCGAAATAGACTTGGCAGCACCTAACAACAACAATAACAGCTTTTCAATGAATTAATGTGTATTTCTACCAACTAATTTTATGCAAATTTCATGTTCTAAAGCTCTAAAAACTCCTAGAAATACTTAAAGTCTGAAGTCTTAGATGTGAAATAACAGCCTATTAAGAGATACCAAGAGATGAGAATATAGTTAAGACTATGAATAATTAAATTCTGTAATAATTATGAGTCCCTACTATATGCTAGATGCTGCGGAATATAGAATGAGCAAAACAGACTTAGTCTCTACCCTCTAGGAGATTTATCTAGTTGAGAAAATAGCCATTAATTAAGTACACAAGTGTGAATAATTTATTAAGGGGGAAGCTTAGGATTCCAAGGGAACACACAGCGTGAGTATTTCAGAATACCCCGTGCTAGGTTGAATAGTGTCCTCCCAAAATTCATGTCTACCCAAAACCTCAGAAGATGACCTTATTTGACTATAAGGTCTTTGCAGATGTAATAAGTTAAGATGAGATCATACTGGGTTAGGATGGGCCCTAAATCCAATGACTGGTGTCTTTAAAGGAGAAAGGAGAGGGAGATTAGGATTTACAGAGACACAGACACACAGAGGGAAGATAGCCATGTGAAGATACATGTGGAAATTGGAGTGATGCAGGCACAAGCCAAGGACTGTTGGCAACCACCAGAAGCTAGGAGAGAGGCACAGCACAGATTGTCCCTAACAGCCTCCAGAAGGAATCAACCCCGCTGTATCTCGATTTTGGACTTCTGGCCTCCTGAACTATGACAGAATAAATTTCTGTTGTTTTAAGCCACCCAGTTTGTGGTAATTTGTTAATGCAGTCCTAGGAAACTAACACAACCTCTGAGCAAATTCCTTTTAAGTGGAATGTAAAGAATGAATTGGAGCCGGCCAAGCAAAGGGGAGAGGAGGCTCAAGAGAGAAAATTCTACAGTCAGAACAACATACAAAAGGTTAGAGGAGAAAGAGAACTGTATAGCTGTAGAGTCCATAATGAGAGGAAGAGTGGAACCAGATAAAGCCAGAGAGTTTTGCACAGCCCTGATCACACAGGGCCTGGTGGGCAATGGTAAAGATTTTGCAATTTGTTTTCTCAATAACAACGTTGTATGCAGCAGTGCATACCATCTCCTGTTTTACCAGTAAATTTCTTAGGTGCTCCAAGAACATTAGGATTAACATGTGATTAACCCCATCTGATATAACGGCCCTCTCAGTATAAGGCATATTTATATCAAGGCAAAAGTGTCTACTTACAGTATCAAGTATTTCTTTGGTATGAGCTGCCGACAAGCAAAATCTGGCTCTGGACTCACTAATAGGGGTAGCAGGAAATCCCACCACAACCACACCAATGTTCCGCTTCAACATCTCCCGTCCGAAGGCACTGCAAAGGGAAAATAAGGAAAATAAACCAAGAAGAGTAATAAAGTGCACAGAACAAAAGTCTTGCTGTCCTGAATGATTTAGACTCTCTGGCGACGTAGTCATTGGAGACTTCTGTTAGGGGTTCTCTCTAACTTCTCTTAAAGTTAAAACTGACAGTTTACCAACTTCTATTCAATCCTAAGGTGTCTTCTCCCAAATGGTTTCCTTTACAAAGGTGAAAGAATATAGTTGGCAGGGACCAATTATTAGTATGGCTGGCCTAAAGAGATTTTTTAACTGAAGTCTTAAAGAATGTCCCTGATGTAACAGTGGCTTAGAAGCTTCCAAATGAACTTAAGTTTAAAACCTGGTCCTTGAAACGATAGGTCTGGCAGTTAGAGGACACAAAGGATCTGCTGTAACATGGGCATCTTTCTGCTGCAAGGATAGCCAATTGGCATGAGTCCTCCAGGTGAGACATTTCTCTAATCAACTAGGGAGCAAGGCTGCCTTTGGAATTTAGGGTTTCTTTTGGTATTTGTTAGGCCAGCTCATCCCCTGGCTTCAGCAGCTGATTATCCAGATGACACAATTCTTATTTAAAGTCCCTGCCTCAAGCCAAATTGGTGGCATGTAACTTTACTCATCTGTATCTTGTCTAAGTAACACAATTCTAACTTTCATGTAAATTTTGTTATTTACTAAATTATGTTGTTCTTTGTCTTTTCCTCCTGTTAATGTATCTTATCTTTGTAAAAAACTTTTCCCTTAAGCAGTTTACAATATTCCTTTGAGAATAAAACACCCTGCACTACATTAATACTGGCCTTTTCAAAGCAGCTCTCAGTGTTTCTCACCCTCTCCAGTGCCAGCCCACCTTCTTCAGTGTACCTCTCCTTTGCGCTAGGGATGGGCCTGAACACCTGTATCTTCAGCACACGCTCCCAAACTATCTAGTGCCTTATTCCAATTCTACAGCTTCAAAGTTTCATCCGTTCTAAATTGTAATTATAATTTACAGTCAGTTCACCTGCGAAGAATAGATTAGACACCAGACCACCAGTTGCCGTTGAGTCAACTCCAATTCATGGTGACCCCATGTGTGTCAGAGTAGAACTGTGCTCCATAGGGTGTTTAATGGCTGATAAAAAGTAGATTCCAGGCCTTTCTTCTGAGGTGCCTCTGGGTGGACTTGAACTTCCAGCCCTTCAGTTATCAGATGAATGCTTAACCATGTGTACCACCCAGAGACTGCAGATTACACACAGTCCTCTCTAATGAAAGGATTCCAGAATAAGTGAGTCTTCCAGGTCCAATAATCCTTCAAGTTTATTTATGATAATTCCATTTGAAGAAGAATAAAGAAAATCCTACACCTCTACTTTGGTCCATTTCTATCGTACTCTCTGAAGGCCACACTGCCAATTGCCCGTATGACTTTTTGAAAACTCACGTTTTCTCCTCAGTAATCACCTTTTCCCAATTTCTTCCTTACTATCTTTGAAACCACCATACTTCCAGGCTCCCCAGTTTAATTTTCCCTGCTATTCATGTCAATAAAAATTTACTGAATGTCTCAGAGGACTGTGGTAGGCACTGGAGATTCAAAGATGAAGGAAAATATATGCTCCCTTGGTAAGTTCAGTCAAATCTGAGGAGTAATTCTTATCCAACAGGATATTTAAAATCCAGCTCAAAACTCACCTATTCCAAAAAGATATGTCTTTTTCACTTAGCCTAAACTGAGAAGACCACTCCTTTATTCTCCATCTCCTGTGCAACTTTGCATATAATTGTTTTTCATATAGTTATATTTGTTCACATTTGGTTTTCAAATGTCTTTTGGTTTCATTATACATCTGGTCTTTTCAAATACATCGAAAGCTATTCCAGGGTAAGGCTTTCCATTATATATGCCTTGTACAAACCAAAGAAACTGGTATAATCTGCACATCTGGTAAATATCCAATAACACACCCTGATATAACCTCTCTGACCTCATAGTCCACAAGTTCCCCTTGGGCCCTGCACTCTGGCTCCACTGACCTCTTTGTTATTCTTCCAACCAAGCGGGTTTCTATGTTATGGCCTTTACACGTATGCTTCTTTCCTCAAACGGCTAACTCTCTCGGCTACTTCTATTCTTGGCTCAGAGGTCATTTTTTCTGAAGTAGATTCCCAATGAGGCCTACCCTGACTATCTTATTTAACATCATAATCTGCCCTCTCATAAGGGACTATCAATCCTCCTTATCCTGCTCTATTTTTTCTGATAGCGTATCTTCTAACATACTACATAATTTACTGATTTATTATGTTTGTCTGACTCTGGCCTCACTAGAACATAAGTGCCACCGGGACATGGATTTTTGTATTTTGTTCACTGAGCTCTACCAGCCCCCTAGAACAGTGACTGTTATCCACTCAAATGTTTGTTTAATGAAAGAATAACAAGTCAACAGATTTTGCAATTTAGAATCCACTGTTTAATTGATGGCATATCTAGCAAATGAAACTTAACACAATGAGACAAAGACATTTTTCTCTAACAAAATCTATAACCCTTAGTCTCGTATCACAGCTATCTGAAGTCTAGCAAGGGACCAGTCCACAGTCTACAACAAAACATACCCAATTTTGGCTGGCATGTAGAGCATCAAAGGCACCACTGGAGAATCTTCATTTCCATAGATGATGAAGCCCATCTCTTTCAGGCGTCTCCTGAAATATCTGGTGTTTTCAGCTAACTGCTGCACACACTCTTTGCCTGGAAAATCATGGGGAGGGAAAACAAAACAATACTAAGAAAAAGGAGAGGAAAAGGGACAGTGATCTTCTCTATCTCCATTTTATCTAATCAGTCCTATGCTTTATTTCTTCATTTCCAACATAAATATTTTGGCACAGTAAATTACATAGAATATAAATAGGGTTTTTTTTTTTTTTTACTCATTAAATTAAAATGATTGGTTTTAAGACTTCAGCACCCAAGTTGGGACCACATCTGCAATCTTCAGCGGCGTCACTAGGGGGACACGGGGGGGGGGTGCAGACTGCACTGGGTGACACCAAAATGACTATCTATAAAATTTTTATATGGCATTTCCGCAAAAATTTATTTATATTTTATAAAAATATCCCTGTAGTTAGTTACAATAAAAACATTTTTTTGTAAGCCCATACATGTATCAATATATCCATAAGGCTAAAACTCCATGCTAATTTACTTTTTGAATCTTCTAATGCCCTCTAGTCAGAGCTGTCATTATAGCCCAATTACAAAGACACCTAGAATTACATGGTTTTTATCTGTACGCGCTACAAGCATGCGCTGTTGTTTTCATGTCTGCCGGTGTTTTGATAGTCACTGATTTTGCCAAATTTTCTGGTGTTTACAATATGGTGGTAATTAGTATTTGTGAACCTATATCAATAACTTTTTAGACAATGAAGTAGTAATTAAAGGAAAAGAAGGAGTGATACACGGGAATTATGATTTATAAGTACCATTAGAACAAAAACATTACTAAGGATTCTGTATGGTTTGGTACAGGAGGAGGTTTAAGGGGGATGGTGACACCAACCCTAGTGATGCCACTGGCTATCTTGCTTTCTATTCTACCATACTAGGTGTTGATCACAGGTCTTATAATAATTTAAAAAATAAAGTTTAACAACTAATAGTTGAGGCACTATAGTATCCTTAAACATTTTCAACCATACACCTAATTTAGCACTCTATACATCCCTGTTCAGTAGGTAGGATATATTTATTATTATCCTCATTTTACAGGTTAGGAAGTTCTCACAGAGGTGATGACTTGCCTATAGTCACACAGAAGTAGGTGGCACAGCTAGATCTCCCAACTTCAACAACTGTTCCAATTAACCACGCTCTAATTAATTTTATAGGTAAGACCAGAAATAAAGCCACTTAGGGCTCAAAATTTTCTTCGAGAGTTTCATTTTTATCACTGTGTCCTTAAAACTCCTTAAGAAAGGAGCTTTAAGAAATAAAAAACATATCCATAATAAGGCAAAATAATATTTTAATCTTCCTTAGTTCATCTTCCCTAAAATGCAAGTAGATTAAAACATATATTACTCTAATTGCTAAGAGACTAAATATTTGGCCAGGCTGACACTCTGATAGGTCAATCTGTGAACACATGTACAAACAATTGTTCCGTTATCCACAGTAAGCCAATAAATTTCAAAGATCAGCTCGCCAAGAGCTAAGAACTGCCTTATGGTCTTCTCAACCATGAATACTCATGAATAAGAAAAGGTTACAGTCATTTTCTCACATATACTAGAAAGTCAGCATATTCATATTTAAAAAATCAAAACATACAAAAGACAAATTATCCAATCAAAAATGCAGATGGCTAATAAATGCCCTTAGAATATTAACATACACATCATTGATGGGAAGCCGGTCTAGATAAGTTTGCTACAAATAAACTGAAATTAGTACTCTTTATGTAGATAATTTCAGGCTGACCTGAGAATTATAGTCAAGCTTAGATTAGCCTAATTAGTGTGAACATTGAAGAACATCATTTAAGTTGCACATTCATATGTTTTACAAAGAATAAAGCAGATATTAAACCGTGTTATATTTAAGCAAGTTGAAAATTAATGAGCCAATTTTCTCCTAGAAATAACAATATATATTTACATTTATAAGAGACTTCCACTCTGACCATGATGTTGTACCAGGGACCAGATTTACCCTCCTGCTCTGAAACAAGAGAAAACTGGACAAAATTACAGTTTCCAGAGCTGTGGACCACAGGCAGTGCAGAACTGCTGCCAGAAGGGAAACAAAGGGGTGAGCCTTAGGATTGACCCCTACTGCCTTAAACAGGCTGAAGGCTGCAGCACAGGAAGGGGGAGCCCAGTCTCTTGAGTTGAGGACACCAGAGACTGGAGTCTGGGAAGGCTAAGGTGGTAGAATTTGTTGGACCATCTGCAGGAGAGGAGGGAGGTGCAAAGAGAGAGCTTTGAAAATCTGCAGAGGGGTCCCCTTGAGCCTCTGGCTGAGTACTGCTCTGCACATGTATGAGAAGAAACTATCAGAGGCCAAGGAAAGATCCATGGGAAAGCGGTAGACCAAACAATTCCTGGTGCTCACGCGGAGCTGGAGACAGCTTGAATTGTTACCCACCAGAATGGAAAGACTGTGTAACACATGGGGCATCTATCTGATAGAGTCCTCCAGAAAGGTGGAGCTTAGCAGTGAAGCTAAATTAGCCCTTAACTAAAGGCTGCTCTGGACCTGCCCTAACAAGGCTTAAAAATAAGTCCTAAAAGAATCCAGTTGATTCCAAGAACAAAGTCCAACATGATCTAAAGGCATGCAACAAAATACAGCACCCAATAATGTGAAATTCACAATACCTGACATCTAATTAAGAATTCTAGGCATTCAAAGAAACAGGAAAATATGACCCACAACCTGGAGAAAAGTCAATCAATAGAAAAAGACCAGAAATGAGTATTAGCAGACAAGGATGTTAAAAAGCTATTATAAATATACTTCATATGTTCAAAAAAGTAGAGGAAAACAAAAACATGACAAGGAGAGAAAGGAAATATATAAAAAGGAACAAACTACTGATACAACAAGGACTAATCTCCAAAGCATTATGCTGAGTGAAAGAAGCCAGACACAAAAGACTATATATATACTGCATAATTTCATTCATAAGAAATTCTGAAACAGGCATAATTACAGTGACAGAAAACAGATTAGTGGTTGCCAGGGAGTTGGGAAGGGGGCTGAAAGCAGCATAAGGGAACTTTGTGGGATGATGAAATATTCTATACCTTGACTTTGTGATGATTACACAGCTATATACATATGTCAAAACTGATAGAATTATATACTTTAAATTGGTAAATTTTATTGTATGTAAATGATCTCATTAAAGCTAGTTCAAAAAATTGAGTGACACATTTGATACTAGTATGCATTGATTTTTTCCTGTACTGACCTTGTCATTTTTCAGCTCATCATTTTTCTTATCTGTTTGCTCTCTAATCACAAACCTACTAGCCTCCATTAAAAAACAAAAACAAATTGCATTCCAAGCACATTTAAAAAAAAAAATTATCAAGGAAAAAAAGAGACTTAGACCTCAGCATTTTCATTGACTGCTAATCAATTCCAAATAAGTTTCTTTTAATGAAAGGAGGTGGAACTCTCAGCCCCATCATTCATTGTCATATATTCCCTGACAAGAGTTGCAGAAAAAAATACATGTAAAATAACCCTGTACACAACTGAAAATACTGGACATATGTACTTAAGACCTCCAATTTATATATTCTCCTAATTGTGGAGTACTATTCCATTGTATGAAGTACTGGTGGCACAGTGGTTAAGAGTTCAAAAGGCTGGCAGTTTGAATCCACCAGCTGCCCCTTGGAAAACCTATGGGGCAGTCCTACTCTGTCCTATAGAGTTGCTATGAGTTGGAATTGACTCCACGGCAACAGGTTTGGTTTTTTTTATTCCCTTGTAAGGATATACCACAATTTGCTTATCCATTCAGTTTATCCCACCTGTTCAGGGACATCAGAGTTGAGATTATATCGATCTTCGTTTTGGCAGCTATGAAGTTTAGATTAAAAAGAACTCTCTCCTAAATACATATTTAAACATCCCAGTCATATAGTCATAACCAAATTAGCAAAGAACTACTGAAACTAGCAATTAACAGCTCAATTTCATTTGATTCTAATGGCTTTAGGTGGATAGTAAAAGAATGTACTATTTATACTTTATACAGAAAGAAACAGGCCCAGAGATGTTAAATTACTTTCTCCAAGGTCTTTTATTTAGTAAGAGGCACAAGATCTTCTGACTCCAGTCCAGTGCTTTCTCTTCTACACCATGCCAAGAAAATTATTTAGTTTTCAAATTTTAAAGTGTAACCCTTTACTGGGCAACAATATCCATGCTTTATGTTTTAAACAGCTCTTACTGGCAAGTGCATGGGGTAGAGTGAGTGGGTGAAAAGAGCCTCAGGAAACACAGGGCGACTCTGAGGCAAGTGAAAAGTAGTCCTTCCAATAAGCTTATCTTGAGCAACAGAACTGTAACCATCACTGGTGGGTAGAAGACTAAAGACTGAGTGGGCAGGTCAAGACTAGTGCCTGGGAGAAAAGTCAACTAACTTTGGGTAGGAACAACAAACTCGGTGGTCAGGGTGAATCACAGAAATTAAGTGGTCTGTTTATCCTACAAAACTCCCAGGCCAAACCATAAAACCATGAATATTTGATTCTTTTTGACTGAAAAAGGCAGTTTCTTACAGTTTGACCGAATAATTTCAAAGATACACTCTAACAGAAAAAGCCAAACAGACAAATCAGTAAGGCCTAGCGGTTATACAAATTGCAAAGTGGTTATCTCTTACTCTTGAGGTGATACTGAATTTTAATGGACAACAAAGTAACCCATTTTGAATTAAATATATAAAATAGCAGTTAATACTAACACAACAAGAGCAATTACGATATGAGTCCAATCTGCTAGCTCAGTTTTAAGAAGTTTTCTTACTTCACAGTTTCAGCAAGTAACTGGTCTAGCACAAACTTAAAACAAAGAAGAAAGTTGGTTTAGTACTGTTAAAAAAAAATACTAACACTTAAAAGGTTTTTATTCTCACCTCCAAGAACACAGACGGTAATATAAGAGGTCAGTGTTCTTCTCTATTTGTCAATCATAAATCTATACTTATAAGGGTGGAAATATTA